ACAGGGGTTCTTGGTAATGGATTTCCCATTCCCCTTTTTCTTTGTTTTTTGGGGCCCGGGGGGTTGAAAGGGGGGGGGGGGGGGGGGCAAGAGATCAACCATCCGTGGTAACGTCGTTACGTCATGTCGTCGGATGGGTGGGGTTGGGGTGAATGAAACGCAAGGAACAAACCGTGGTTTTAGGGAGCGCAAGAGCAGGCTGAGGCAGCAGCAACAACAGAGAATGAAACCAAACCCAACAAGACCATCTCGCACGGCATTATGTGCCATGCCACATGCATACCTGCTTCTTATGCCCTTCTTATGCCAAGCAAAATTTTCGTGTGCATCATACACCAAGGAGGAGCAGCAGCAGCAGCAGTAGCAGCAGCAGCAGCAGCAGCAGAGCATGACACCAAAAACGCGACAAGGCCACACACGGCATGAATGCATGCATACATTGCCAAGCAAGGCAAGGTGTTTCGTGTTTCGTGGGTTAGTGCCACGCACCAAGGATGAGCTTGGCGATGTTGTTGGCGTACAGCTGGGACGACGTCTGCGGGAGGCGCGATGGAAGGTCCGTGTACCCGACACAAGTCACCCTGTTGATTTTGTTTTTCGCCGTCCATCCAAGTGCGCCCCGCCCACGCACGATAAGCAAGGGGTGTGGCGAAGAGACAAGACAGGACGAGCCGCGGATAGGTGAGAAATGATTAGTGCGGAGGAAGGCCTTGGGGCTTGGCGTCGACGACCGGAAAGTTGCAAAGTTGCAACCAACCAAACCCGTTTGTTCCGTTTACAACGACTTTTTTTTCCATGCTGGAACGTCGATCAGCTGCAGCTCTGAAGAGAAATTGAGCCAACGTACGGCCCACTTCGCGGTGGTCGTTCCCACAACGCCTGCCCCTCCGGCTTACCCACAGACGGCTCCCGAGTGTTTCTTCTATGTTCCCGCCCTTCTGTTCCCGTTCCTTGCATCTGTTCTCCGATCTGTCTCCGTCCCTCCCTCTCTCTCTGTCTCTCTGTCTCTCGTCTCTTTCTCTCTCTCTCTCCCCCCCCCCTTCTCTATCGCTCCGTTTCTTTATCCTTACCCGTTCTCGGTGACGATGACTTGGTCCTTGACCGTGGTGCCGATGTTACCCCCGTTCGCCGCCGCCAGGTCCACCGTCACCGAACCGGGCTTCATGCCGGCTACCATTTCGGACGTCACGAGCTTAGGAGCCTACGTATCATGTCATTTCAAAGCAGATACATGTTAGCGGTAAAAAAAACACACAGTTAATGAATGAACCAGAGCAGAACGGTACCATTGACCTTGGGGAGAATATCGTGCCATTTTCAGTGCAGATACACGTTTTCATGTACCAGAGGTCATTGTCAAACACAGAAATACAATAGGTAAAACATTGTCATGTAGACATTGTACCAGAGCGGAATCGTACCGTCGGCCATGAAGGCCCTCAGGTGTCGGTGTTTCGTGTATTGTGCACAAAAAACATACTTAACTGCTGTACATGATATCTAGCTGTACTTGGTGCTAAGAATGAGGTGGGGTTCGGAAGGAGAAAAAAAAAATTTGTGTGGCGCGGAGGGCTCCCGAACCAATACGCGGGAGGTTTGTTGGTTGTACACTTGACGAGGGCGATGAATTGAAGGCGATGAGGATGAAAGAGCGAATGAAAGTGTTCCTGACACAAAAAAAGCCCCCCTGAACAAACTGCAGGTGTGCTTTCCACCGTGGGGCCGCAGGCCCAGCCAAGACCACAACATGTTCCCGCCCAAAATTATGATGGAGCTGGATACGTGTGGTCACAAAACCCGCCGCGGTTTCGGCGATCTATCGTACTCGTACCACTGGTTGGTACCTTATCGCAGGCTTTTCACAAGAAAATTTCAAGCTCGAGTGCGTAGCAAGACATGTTGCAAGAATCAACGGCAAAGGGGAAGAACCAGATACGGAGGGGGGGGGGGGGGTAGGGAGAGAGAACGACAAAGAGAGTAGAGACAGAGGCTGGCGTGTTCTTCACTCCTGTTATCCTGTGTGGCCTTCCTCTTTCATGTGTGACCGCGGTTGGTGCGTCCAGAACGCATACCGAACGATGTAAAAGACCGACGTCAGGAGCCTTAAAACAAAACCACCAGCAGAACGTATACCGAACGCTGTAAATAAAAAACCGACGTCAAGAGCCTTCAAACAAAACAACCAGCAGAACGTATACCGAACGCTGAAATAAAAAGACCGACGTCAAGAACGACAAAACAAAGCGAACAAAAAATGTGACAGTTCACTTCAGCTCTCCATCTCCAAGTCCGTACCGGCTTCCCCGGGATGAGCGCCGTGGTGATGATGATGTCCGAGTCCGCCGATACCCTGGCGAACAGCGCCGCCGCCGCCTGCCGAAAAATGCAGGGTTTTCCAAAACCGCGGCCGTGAGACTCATTCATCGATAGGTATAAAACGCCGTTCACTACTTTCTCGCGGGGGGGGGGGCAGGGGATGCCCTTTCACCACCACCATGTACAGAAGGCGATGCAACACACAAGCGGTGATCCTAATTTCAGGTCTGGTTGGGGGCCGGGGGGGGGGGGGAATTCCGGCAAAACTATTAAACCCATTAACAAAAAAAGTACCAAAGAAAGAAAGAAAGAAAGAAAAAGGGAAAAAACCCCCCCCCCATTTCCAAGTCCCCCTCCCCAAAAAAACCCTTCCTTCCCCCCGAAGGGTACCCCCGAAACCCCATCCAGCCCCTTAAGTTCCTCTTTTCTCCCCCAAAAGGTCTTTCAAACCCCAACCCCAAGGCCGGTTTTAACCCCCCGGGTGCTGTAAAAAAAATCACGTCCAACCCTTTCTCCCCCCCCCTTTTTCTCCCCCAAAGGGCCCTTTAAACCCCAATTTTGGGCCAAAGGGGGGCCACCCCGAAGGGGGCCCTCCAAAATTAACATGGAAACTGGGGGGGAAAAAAAAATAAAAAAAACACCCCCCAACGAAAAAAGAATCTTGTGA